CGTCCGTGCCTCCAGAGGCAACATGGCCTTGTGCCACCAAACCCTGGGTCACCATGCCTCCGGGCAATATCCATACACACACATACGCTTACGCGTGGCTCTGGAGACCACCCTCAAGTGCCTTCAGAGCTGAGATAGCTTTGTGCCACCAAAGCCTGGGTCACCATGCCTCCGGGCAATATCCATACACACACATACCCTTACGCGTGACTCAGGAGACCATCCTCAAGTGCCTCCAGAGGTGACATAGCTTTGTGCCACCAAAGCCTGGGTCACCATGCCTCCAGGCAATATCCACACACACACATACCAAGAGCGCCTCAACCGTGGCTAGCTCCTACGCACACGTGACTTCACATGCTTCAAACCCGTGCCTCCGGAGGCAACATATCAATGCCTTCATAGTATGCACACATGTGCATGCACGCACAAACCTATATATCATCAACAAAGCATAGCTCTTAAGTAGAAGTGACTGCACATTCTTCAAACCTGTGCGTTCCGAAACAAAGCAGCTTGCCTTTTGCATGACCTGCTAGGAGGTTCCCCCGCGCCGGAGGCGTCGTGTCAAACCGCGACGGACAACGCGCCGCATGAACCAGCACGCTGCACGACCAACACACACTTCGACCTATGCCCCCTCCTTCAAGATGTTTATGAAAATTAAACGAGCCGAAGGCGAGCAGGAGGTTCTCTCGCGCCGGAGGCGCCGTGTCACACCGCGACGGACAACGCGCCCCACGGCCCAGCACGCTGCACGACCAACACACACTTCGACCTATGCCCCCCCTTCAAGATGTTTATGAAAATTAAACGAGCCGAAGGCGAGCAGGAGGTTCCCTCGCGCCGGAGGCGCTTTTCTTCAATTTAGTAAAGTTATACACTCGTGCCTCTCGTAGTGTTCACCTGTGCCTATAAAGAAGTCACACGATTGAACAATTCTGAAGACTTCCGTTTTACATTAAAAAGTTGCTTATTTTCGTTACTTGAAAGGTCACATTTGATAGTGTTGGTAGTCCCCGCCCGTAACTACCCCATAAATCTCCATTACCCGGAAATATAATGAGAAAAAAAGGGAAATGAAAAAGGGAAACAGGGAACCAAGCGCGCGAACTGATATTTTTTTTGTGTGTTTTCGCGCGGAAAGGGAAAACGAAAAAATGTGATAGTATGAGGGTCAAAGTGCAAAATGCACGAAACCACAAACCGGAAAGGGAAAACCAGAAACCAACCACGCCACCTGGTTTTCCCTGAAGGGAGCGCTCCGCGCGCGACACTTGTCACGCGCGGGGCGCTCCCGAACCGCTCGTTACAAGAGAAAATGATCTATAGTAATGGGCCGGCCCACGATCCCGATGGCCAGAGTTGAGGCCTAGGTATATCTCCACAAGAGCTTTCCACGAGTGCTACTCCTATATCGCCCTTACAGCGAGACTGAAGAAGCTCTCGCCTGAAGCGTCCATGTAACGGGAAGAATCATTAGAGCACGGTTAAAACAATACAAATAGAGAAAAGGGGAGCACCCAGAGATTGATTCCAGGTCCTTCCCATTAGCGCCGACTTAAAAAAATAGTAGAGGGAAAAGGGAGCACCCTAGGATCAATCCCAGGTTTCGTGTTAATATAGAAGGCACGGGCTACTTGATGGAAAAGTCTCCATTTTTTCACTATTTTTTGGGTTTTTTTTCTTTTTTTCACCGGTTTTCTTTGTTTATTCTTTGTTTTCATCATTTTTTTATTTATTTTTATTTTTCTTCGGTTTCCTTTGTTTGTTTCTCGGTTTTCACTTGCTTTTTTCCTTTTCTTTCTTTTTGTCTTCATTTTTGTTTCTTTCTTACTCACTTGTCATCTTTTTTGTTTTTATTTGGTTTATTGTTTTTCTTTGTTTTTGTAATTTCATCGGTTTCTTTTTTTTCAACACATGTTAACTATGTTTTCAGTACACATTTAATATTGTCCCTATACATCAGAAACATTTTTTGTATACACATTTAAAAAATTTAAATACAAGATTAACAATTGTTGAAAACTTACTTTTTTATGTCTACTTATTTCATAGACATTGTACATTTTTGGTATATATCTAGTACATTTTTCAAATACATGTTTATTCTTTTTCAAGTACAAGTTTCATGTTTTTTAAATGCATGGTCAACATTTTTTGAATACCTTATTAATGCTTTATTAACATTTTTAAAATACATGATCACCTTTTTTCCAAACACGTTTTATATTTTTTTGCACGCATTTTTTGTATACATGAGAAACATTTTCTCTATACAAATTTAACTTTTGTCACGCTGGTTGGAGTTTTTCTTTTTTCTGAAGGGACGCTGGTTGGAGTTTACCCTGCCGGCTTTCCCATTGGCGAAGCCGCAAGCCACGCATCATGAATGAGCAGCACGGCACGGGACGACATGCACGCTGCATGCAAGCAAAAGCAAATCACAGGGCAATCGCCGCCGCTGCGCCGGATCTTTATTACAGGTTCTCGGCATATGCGCCAGGGCAGATCCGTCTCCGCCGCTCCTACGAGCGCTCCCGCCCGCCCACCCCCCGCCCTCAACGGGCCACGCACGCTCCTACCATCGCCACCGCCATTCGCCTCCTCCTCCTCCTCCTCCTCCTCCTCCTCCTACCACCCGCCGCTACCCCAGCCCCGCTCACCTCACCTCGCCTCGCTGACCGGCCGGCGACGACGATGGGGCGCGTGAAGCTGGCCATCAAGCGGATCGAGAACAACACGAACCGGCACGTGACCTTCTCCAAGCGCCGGAACGGGCTCATCAAGAAGGCCTACGAGCTCTCCGTCCTCTGCGACATCGACATCGCCCTCCTCATGTTCTCCCCCTCCCGCCGCCTCTGCCCCTTCTCCGGCCGCCACGGGTCCGTCCTCCTTTCCTTAATCTCTCCGGCGCAGCCTGCTTCATTGATTCCCGTTTTCGTTTCCGTTTCTGAGACTCGTGCGTGCATGCATGCATGGCCGCGCGCGCTGCTCGTCGTTCGTCGTTCGCCAGGGTGGAGGATGTGCTTCTCCGGTACCTCAACATGTCCGACAACGACCGGGGAGAGTGAGTGCCAGAGTTCACATATATATGCACCGTGTAATCAACTTGGATCGATCTCCTTTCTCAAACATTTTGCTTTCTTCGTTTCACCACCGCAGACCCATCCAGAACCGGGAGGTGAGAGAAGCAAGAACCAAGCTCGTTTTCAAATCTTCTTTTAACTGAAAAAGGAGTCCACGCAAGATCAATCACTCACTCATCTCTCGTTTGACAAATCCGATGCAGTACCTCATCAGCATGCTCCAGAGGCTCAAGCGCGAGAGCGACATGGCGACACAGCTCGCAAAGTACTACTATGCATTTTACCCTTGCTCAAATTTCCTCTATTCTTCTTGTTGATTTGCCGTATCAACATTGTTTATGTTTCCTTTTGCTGCTCGCAAATTTCAGCCCGGGGGCGCTGAACGAGAAGATAGAGGTGACAAATGTTCATGTCTTTTGCGTCGTAACCTTACTGCATCATGTCTCAACGACAAGGAAAGCATCTTATTAGTCTCATTCTTTTCCAACGAATTAAATTGCAGGAGATTCAGAAGGAGATATACGCGTGTCAGCAGCAGCTGCAGATCTCCGAGGAGCGCCTCAGGTACAAACCAAGACCCGCGCCCTTTAGCACTTTGTTCGTGCGGTCGCGACCTTGATCGTGTTCGTGTGTTTTCTGTGTGCGCGCATGCTGTTCGAGCCGGACCCCGCCGCGTTCGGTTCCATGGGCGAGATCGACAATTGCGAGAAGTCCCTCATGGACATGCTCACCCGCGTCGTCGAGAGGAAGGTAAGATGGTGTCCACAAATTTATCTCGGAAAAACACAGTTTCATGTGCTACTCATTTGAATAATTCGATTTGTGCAACTATATATCGAGCTGCAGAACTACCTGCTCAGCAACCTGGCCCCGTTCGACCCGACGGCGCCCGGGATGCAGGTACGGCGATCTTCGAGATCACATTTGAATGCGTAGGATCGCCGCGCTGATCCTACGTTCTAATGCCATCAACGTGTTGATACGCACAAGATTTATGTACTTCATCCATGATGAAGATGGGTTTGGCGGTGCATTGCAGGGCGGGAACGAGGCGCAGATGTACGTGCACGCGATGAAGACGGAGGAAGGCGGCGGCATGGGCACGTTCGCCGGCGACGCCGCCGCGCTGTGGGGCTCCGACGACGGGCAAAACCCCGGCCACCAGATCTTCGGCGGGACCGACCCGATGATCTACCTCAGGCACGTCTACCTCTCCGTGCGCACACGGGCACAGGGCAACCTGACACGTCGGCAGTAATACTAATGTGTATGCTTTATTATTTTGCGGCAGCGACCCGGACGTGTACGACGGCAAATCGCAGGTGGCCGGGATGCACGGCGGCAACGGCGACGTCGGGGGCAGCAGCCAGACGGCGGATCCGTGGCGGCAGGCGTACAGCTACACCGAGCTGCTCTCCACGCTCATCCCCAACACGCCCTTCCCTCTCATGCAGCACTGCCTGGGCCCTGACGACGGCCAGTACCTGCCGGCCATGGTGCCGGCGGCGCAGGACCAGCTGGAGGCCTCCGCCAGCTGCTCCTACAACATGCCCACAAGCGATGAGAGCGGCACGCCCGTCATGGCGTACGACGGCGGCGGTGGCGTGCCGCCGCCCAACGTCGGCTGATCTCATCGGCCCGCTGGTCCTATCTATATCTATCGTGACCTAAGCATGGCGCTGATGCAAAATCGACTATACCTAGGCAGTGCTAATGTGTTAGTGGTGGCGCACGCATCACACGCGTGTAATAATAAGAAAATAACTCTAGTAGAACGAAATCATATTTTCATAATAAATGCTTAATAAAACCCGGAGATGTTGTGGATCAGTCAATTAATTTCGCAGTGATTTACATTTAGGCCTCATTTTGGTTCATAGGATTTTTGAAATATCATAAAAATAGAAAACCCTAGCTAGAACTTCCTGACAGACAATCAAACCTTGGCGATTGCTGCAGCAGAAAGGGCTCCACACGCTCAACATGGGCAGTGGGCGCTAAGACCTTACATAACCAGGTTCGGTAGTGACCAGACACATCCAAAATTACAAATGGTACAAAAGTATTCAGGATGACCAGAGACCTCAACAAGGCGGCGCATTCACAGGCCAAAGAAGCTTATTGTGCTACAAACTCTCAATCATGTTTGATGTCAAAAAAAAAAACTCTGAATCATGTCAAATTAGGAATGTGTTGTCGAAGGCAATTGTGCAAGACTGCACACTGCTTTCAGTAGTTTGTCCTCTCTAAGAACCTTGATGAATGGAGCTTTTATTTTGTAAAATAAACAAAGAAGTAGGTAAATGAAAAACCATAAGTTGCTGAAAGTGTCTGTGAGGTGGTCTCTTTCATGGACGCAGTGCGTGAGGGAGTGGAAGGAAGCAGAGGAGGGTGTGAAGGAGGGTTCAGATTCGAATTTCATTGCCAGGAGGCGTGCTCAGCTATGCAAGGATCACGCCGATAGGGAGTTGCTGAATCTCACTTGGAGGGTTTTCTTCGAGGTCAATGTCGGTGTTGAAACCGGCGGATATCGGATGGGGGGCACAAGCTGTGCATCTAAAGATCGATGGTAAGAGCATCTCCAACAACCGTGGTAAACTAGCGCCGCGCCGCAAAGTAGTCTGTTTTAGCGCGCGCGCAACGCGGCGGGTCGCTCCAGCGGGCGTGTAAAAACGGCGCGCGCGCTATAACGAGTTGGGCGCGCGGTCGAAAACACTGTCCCGCGCGGTGTATTTCGGGCGCTCGCTACAGCGCGCGGCACACTCGAGCGCTCGCGTCGCACTCTCTCCTCTCCTCCTCCTCCTACGCCCCGCGCGCGTCGGCGCCAGCGCCCTGCCACCCACCCATGGACGCGCACACCGGCACCCCGCTCACCCCGTTGTACAGCCGCGACCCCCCCTCCCCCGCTGCTGCCGGAAACCCTAGCACGGGGAGCGTTGGCGTCGCCACCGTCGGAGCTCCGCCAGGCGTCGGCCTCGCGCGCAGCCTCTTCTTGCCGCCGCGGATGACCACGGCGCCGGGTGGCATCGCGCCGGCGCCGTCCCGTGCCGCCGCCGCACCGTCGAAGGTCCCCAATGCGGCGCGGCCGAAGAAGGGCAAAACATCCGCGAAGAAGAACAAGGCGGCGGATGGCTCCGGTAGCACGAAGGCGAGGGCAAAGAAGCTTGTTGGGCGTTCGACGGCCGCGGCGGCTACCGAAGTGTTGGAAATATGCCCTAGAGGCAATAATAAAATGGTTATTATTATATTTCTTTGTTCATGATAATTGTCTGTTATTTATGCTATAACTGTGTTATCCGGAAATCGTAATACACGTGTGAATACATAGACCACAACATGTCCCTAGTAAGCCTCTAGTTGACTAGCTCGTTGATCAACGGATAGTCATGGTTTCCTGACTATGGGCATTGGATGTCATTGATAACGGGATCACATCATTAGGAGAATGATGTGATGGACAAGACCCAATCCTAAGCATAGCTCAAAGATCGTGTAGTTCGTTTAGCTAGAGCTTTTCCAAATGTCAAGTATCATTTCCTTAGACCATGAGATTGTGCAACTCCCGGATACCGTAGGAGTGCTTTGGGTGTGCCAAACGTCACAAGTAACTGGGTGACTATAAAGGTGCACTACGGGTATCTTCGAAAGTGTCTGTTGGGTTGGCACGAATCGAGACTGGGATTTGTCACTCCGTATGACGGAGAGGTATCTCTGGGCCCACTCGGTAATGCATCATCATAATGAGCTCAATGTGACCAAGTGTCTGGTCACGGGATCATGCATTACGGTACGAGTAAAGTGACTTGCCGGTAACGAGATTAAACGAGGTATTGGGATACCGACGATCGAGTCTCGGGCAAGTAACGTACCGATTGACAAAGGGAATTGTATACGGGGTTGATTAAATCCTCGACATCGTGGTTCATCCGATGAGATCATCGAGGAGTATGTGGGAGCCAACATGGGTATCCAGATCCCGCTGTTGGTTATTGACCGGAGAGGCGTCTCGGTCATGTCTGCATGCCTTCCGAACCCGTAGGGTCTACACACTTAAGGTTCGGTGACGCTAGGGTTGTAGAGATATTAGTATGCAGTAACCCGAAAGTTGTTCGGAGTCCGGAATGAGATCCCGGACGTCACGAGGAGTTCTGGAATGGTCCGTAGGTGAAGAATTATACTCCCTCCGTTCCTAAATATAAGGTGTATTAGTTTTCCAAAAAGTCAACTGTTGTCTATGTTTGACCAACTTTACAGCAAAATATATAAAGATTTATAATACTAAATATATAAAATGTAAAAATATAGTCCATGATGAATCTAGTGATAATGGTTTGGTATTCTAGATATTGATATTTTTGTCTATAAACTTGGTCAAACTTACAGAAGTTTGACTTTTTGAAAAAATAATACACCTTATATTGAGGAACGGAGGGAGTATATAGGAAGTCAGGTTTCGACCATTGGGAAAGTTTCAAGGGTCACCGGTATTGTACCGGGACCACCGGAAGGGTCCCGGGGGGTCCACCGGGTGGGGCCACCTATCCCGAAGGGCCCCATGGGCTAAAGTGGGAGGAGAACCAGCCCTAGGTGGGCTGGTGCGCCCCCCTTTGGGTCCCCCCTGCTCCTAGGGTTGGAAACCCTAGGGGTGGGGGCGCCTCCACCTGGCTTGGGGGGCAAGTTTCCCCCCTGGCCGCCGCCCCTCCTTGGAGATCCCATCTCCTAGGGCCAGGCCCCTCCAGGGGGCCTATATAAAGGGGGGAGGGAGGGCAGCCGCACCCATGATCTTGGCGCCTCCCTCTCCCCTTGCTACACCTCTCCCTCTCGTAGAAGCTCGGCGAAGCCCTGTCGAGATCGCTGCTGCATCCATCACCACGCCGTCGTGCTGCTGGATCTCCATCAACCTCTCCTTCCCCCTTGCTGGATCAAGAAGGAGGAGGCGTCTTCCTCAACCGTACGTGTGTTGAACGCGGAGGTGCTGTCCGTTCAGCACTAGGATCATCGGTGATTTGGATCACGACGAGTATGACTCCCTCAACCCTGTTCTCTTGAACGCTTCCGCTCGCGATCTACAAGGGCATGTAGATGTACTCCTTTCTCTCGTTGCTAGATGAACTCATAGATTGATCTTGGTGAACGTAGGAAATTTTTTATTTTATGCAACGTTCCCCAACAGTGGTATCAGAGCTAGGTCTATGCGTAGTTCTCTTTGCACGAGTAGAACACAATTTGTTATGGGCGTAGGTGTTGTCAACTTTCTTGCCACTACTAGTCTTATTTTGCTTCGGCGGCATCGTGGGATGAAGCGGCCCGGACCGACCTTACATGTACGCTTACGTGAGACAAGTTCCACCGACTGACATGCACTAGTTGCATAAGGTGGCTAGCGGGTGTCTGTCTCTCCCACTTTAGTTGGAGCGGATTCGACGAAAAGGGTCCTTATGAAGGGTAAATAGAAGTTGGCATATCACGTTGTGGCTTTCACGTAGGTAAGAAAACGTTCTTGCTAGAACCTTATTGCAGCCACGTAAAAACATGCAACAATAATTAGAGGACGTCTAACTTGTTTTTGCAGCATGTGTTTTGTGATGTGATATGGCCAAAAGTTGTGATGAATGATATATATGTCATGTATGAGATCATGCTCTTGTAATAGGAATCACGACTTGCATGTCGATGAGTATGACAACCGGTAGGAGCCATAGGAGTTGTCTTAATTTATTGTATGACCTGCGTGTCATTGAAGAACGACATGTAAATTACTTTACTTTATTGCTAAACGCGTTAGTCATAGAAGTAGAAGTAGTCGTTGGCGTGACAACTTCATGAAGACACGATGATGGAGATCATGATGATGGAGATCATGGTGTCATGCCGGTGACGAAGATGATCATGAAGCCCCGAAGATGGAGATCAAAGGAGCTATATGATATTGGCCATATCATGTCACTATTTGATTGCATGTGATGTTTATCATGTTTTTCATCTTGTTTACTTAGAACGACGGTAGTAAATAAGATGATCCCTCATAATAATTTCAAGAAAGTGTTCCCCCTAACTATGCATCGTTGCGAAGGTTCGTTGTTTCGAAGCACCACGTGATGATCGGGTGTGATAGATCCTAACGTTTGAATACAACGGGTGTAAGCCAGATTTACACACACAATACACTTAGGTTGACTTGACGAGCCTAGCATGTACAGACATGGCCTCGGAACACGGAGGACCGAAAGGTTGAGCATGAGTCGTATAGAAGATACGATCAACATGGAGATGTTCACCGATGTCGACTAGTCCGTCTCACGTGATGATCGGACACGGCCTAGTTGACTCGGATCATGTTTCACTTAGATGACTAGAGGGATGTCTAATCTGAGTGGGAGTTCATTGAATAATTTGATTAGATGAACTTAATTATCATGAACTTAGTCTAAAATCTTTACAATATGTCTTGTAGATCAAATGGCCCACGTTACCCTCAACTTCAACGCGTTCCTAGAGAAAACCAAGCTGAAAGATGATGGCAGCAACTATACGGACTGGGTCCGGAACCTGAGGATCATCCTCATAGCTGCCAAGAAAGATTATGTCCTAGAAGCGCCACTAGGTGAAGCACCAATCCCAGAGAACC